ATAAAAGTGGAAGAAAAACTAAGAAAGGGAGAGTGGACAATTGTACAAATAGTATTGGGAGGCCAAGTAAGTTGATGTCATTTATATATGTGATTAAGCAATGTGGAGAAAGTTGGTCATACTACCAAGAACAGTCTTAGCATGGTGTGGGTGAAAGCTGGATTAGACGGTCTGATGAAAGGGAAGTGGAAATAATTCCTCAGAGAAGATTGACAGGCAAGGTGAGGAGAAGGATTATTATGATCACTAGGAAATATAGAATGAAGAGAGTGTTTTGAAAATAGAGTTTTAGATGGGGATCCCAGGGTGTGCAAATGCTGCTAAGAAGAATCCCACAGATGGACAAGTTGAAGATACACAAAAAAGGGGAAAATACCAGTGAGAAGAAAAATGGGTAAAGGCTCTAGATCATATGTGGGAGGACAGGTCTTTCATAGAAGGTGGCCTAATTCCTCCTTTGCAACACACGATAGATTAGAATGAGTGCAAGTGCAAACACAGTTTATAGATTTAGTGGAAAGATGAAGAAAAAAGTCTATCCTTGTGGGATCTATTTTTAAAAATGAGGTATGAGGTCAGGCCATCTGTTCAAAGTAGATGTGTGATGTCAGAGGAAGGGCAATAAAGAAAGAAAGGGATAGGGCTGGAGTGACCAACTATCACGGTTTGCATGGACCAGAAGGGTTCCTGTGACTGGGGAATTTCAGTGATAAGACCAGGAGACTCTCAGGGAGACAGGAAAGGTTGCTCATTCTAGACTCTAAGCGTGGTGGAGGAGGTACAAAGTAGTCTTTGTATAGAGTAAGGGTAGAACCTTCTAGAGAAGAGAGTAAGATTGCTAGTGATGAATACCCAAAGTTGGGGACCATGAATATATGACAAGGGATCCCCCCAAAACCCTATTTATAAAAAAAATTGTCTTATTCTTACATGTTTAAATTCAGTCACCTTCAAAGTACTCTCCATTTGATGCAATGCACCTATCGAAGTGCTTTTTCTACTGCTCGAAACAGTTTTTGAACTTGTCAATTGTGATGCCTTTTAGTGCTTCTGCTGTTTTTTTGTTTCACCTCTTCCAAATCAGCAAAATGTTTTCCTTTGAGGACTTTTCTTTTTTTTATATAATCAATATTTTTTATTATGATATTGTGGGGTACAGTTAAGGGTTAGGTATACAAATATGCTTCATTCAGGCACCCTTGTTGATAAGAGGTGTCTCCCCGTCCCCAGACAGAGGTTTACTACCATTAATCCCATCTCCCTTCCTCTCCACCCCCATAGTTTCCCACCACTGTCAGTCATTTTCTTATGGTAATATGTTGGATGATCAAGGTCCACTATATGAGTGAGAACATGTGATACTCAGATCTTTGTTTCTATGAGAGGTCACTCAGTATTATAGACTCTAGTTCCATCCAGGTTGCTGCGAAATTCATGATTTCGTTCTTTTTTACAGCTGTATAGTATTCCATCGTGTATATGTACCACATTTTTTAAATCCAGTCCTCTTTTGATGGGCAGCATGATTGGTTCCAGGTTCTTGCTATTGTGAACAATGCTGCGATAAACATTTGTGTGCGGGTATCTTTTTTATAGAGTGATTTGAGTTCTTCAGTGTATATTCCCAGTAGGGGGATTGCAAGTCATATGGGAGGTCGATATTTAGACCTTTTAGGAATCACCACACTGCTTTCCACAGAGGTTGCACTAGTTTACACTCCCACCAACAGTGTAGAAGTGTTCCCTTTTCACCACACTTCCCTTTTCACCACACCCTCTCCAGCAAAAGATATGAACAGACACTTCACAGAGGACTTTTTTTCATTCGGGAAACAAAAGTTGCTTGGGGGGAGACCAGGTGAATAGGAAGGGTGGGGTGTGGGCGTCATGCTGCTTTTGGTCAAAAACTACTAACGTGTTTAGCAGGTAGTGATTTACAGAACAACCTGCCACATGTGGGAATATCATGAAATAGGCAAATGTGTTGAATGAATCACAAAAAACAAAACAAAACACTGAAGCCAAAAGCAGCCTCTCACAACAATGCTAGCTGGTACTGGAATGCTGATGGATTCCTAGAATACTCACCTAGCAGGGGAAACTTGTACTACAAAGGGCCTGTCCTGGAAAAAAAAACAAAAAACAAACAAAAAAAAACATTTTTCTTGGAGGGGGGTGGCTTGGTAAAATGTAACTGTATATTGACTTTGACTTTAGACCAACTGTGCCTTTAGCCAAATTGTGCCTCAGGTGGAAAGGTTCCCAGATGTTTCCGGGTTATGGTACATTAAGTGTCATCGTAATTTCTTCACTGATCCCCTAAGCAATTGTCTGGTTTACTTGTCCGTCTGCTCCACAGACCAAAGCTCTATTAGGGCAGAGACTATGACTGTCTTGTTCATTTAGCATATTTTAGAAAGAAAAATATGAACTGAATTGACTTGTAAATTGTGAAGGTTAAGTAAAATAATGCACGTGAAGCTCCTTTCAGGTTCTCGATAAATGGTAGCTACAATATCTCTATTATTATTCATATTTGTATCATAGTGCACAGCTACTGGCCTGGATTGCAATAACCATTGTTGAATAAAAGTTAAGAAGATGAGGTCCTGAACTATGTGTCTACCAGTAAGAAAGCCTGCAACTGTTGCAGATTTTACTTTCACTATCCTAAATGCTGTCCTCTGAAGTTCCAGCTTACGTTGTATTCTTTAAAAATAAAGAAACAGAAAACAAAATCCAAGAAAGTAATCCTAAAATGCCACTATGGAATGGGATTTTGAAAATATTAGGTCAGGTCGGGGGCAGTGGCTCAAGCTTATAATCGCAGCACTTTGGGAGGCCAAGGTGAGGAGACTGCCTGAGCCCACAGGTTCAAGAACAGCCTGGACAACTTGGCGACACCTCGTCTCTACAATAAATCAAAAAATTATCCAGGCGTGGTAGCGCACTCCTGTAGTTCTGGCTACTTGGAAGGCTGAGGCAGAAGGATCTCCTGAGCCCAGCAGGTCAATGCTGGGGTGGCAGGCTGAGGTGGCTGCCTGTAGCCTGCCACTGCACTCCAGCCTAGTGAGACTCCAACTCAAAAAAAAGAAAAGAAAAGAAAAGATTAGGTCAGACCGGATGGGGGTCTGTGATCCCGTGCCGTGTGAAAGATGCAAGAAACTGCACAGAACTTAGAGTGGAAAATATAGTTTTGGAAAGTAAATGTGAGCGAGAGAGGTGGGGGGAAGAAGGGGAGGGGAAGAGAAGGAGAGAGGCGCCAGACCAAAGTTGGGCAAAGCAAGGGCCGACGGCTGCTTGAGGATGAAAGCTTTTAACCCTTTCCTTTGATGGGGGTGATTGGGTGGTAGTTCGTTTCCGTCATCACGAAGGGGACAGGTAAGCACAGGGACTGACGTCAGGTGATGGGCAGTGGCAGGCAGCTAGGTGGGCTGATCACATGACCGTTGCCATGGTGATGGTGTCTGCTGCAAAGGTTAAGGAGGGCTGATTAGGTTAACTTATGGCTGGAGGCAAATATTTTAAAGACAATCTAATTAATACAAAATAAACTGGCGAGGGGTTTGAAAGACAATTATCAATAGCTACCTCTGAGGATCCAGCTCTGTCCTTGGCCAGTGATTAGAGGGCAAACTAGGTAATGCGACGAGAATATGACAGAACTAGGCAGTGTCAAAATGACTGCACTTTAGCTTAGGATTGTTCCATTAAATAACTTCATTTTGGCATTACACCCTTTCAGAAAAGTAGGGGTAGCAGGACACCACAGAGAAGCTCTGAGACAGTAGCACTGACAAAGAATCTTGGTGTGGGCTGGTTGTGGCTCACCCTTGTAATCCCAGCACTTTGGGAGGCACAGGCAGGAGGATGGCTTGAGCCCAGAAGTTCGAGGCCAGCCTGGGCAACATAGTGAAACCTCACCTCTCCAAAAAATAAAAACAAAAACATTAGCCAGGGGTGATGTCTTATCGTCCCAGGCACTTGGGAGACTGAGACAGAAGAAAGACCTGAGCCCAGAAGCTAAAGGCTGCAGTGAGCCACGATCGTGCCCCGGCAATGGAGTGAGACCCCAACCAGCTCAAAAAAAAAGAATCTTGGTGTTTGTGTATTTCCAGTTTCTAGTCCACTAGGTGGTGGAACCGAGTCCCTTCCCTAGCAACAGAGTTCTTTTCCCACACAGGGTCGTGTTTCTCTCACAACGCCCACACTCGGCTTCCCACGTGAGGAGCCGCAATGAATCCAATGTCTTCAAAGCTTCTGCTTGGAAAACGGCGCTTTCAGAGGACGAGGGGAGGGTGCCAAGGGGTCATGAGGACGGCGGGAACACAGGGACCCGGGGCTTTCAACTACATTTCCCAGAAAGCCAGGGGCTGCGCCTACAGCCCC